GCGTGTCAGATCAACATAGGATTAATACTTTATATCCAGTTGAGTACCTCCACCATACATGAGTCCTACATATAGGGCCGAGTGTCTAAAGCAGCCAATCAGATTAGTAAAAAAAACGATTTTCATAAATACTTGAACGTGTAAGATTAAGGTAAGTTAGTAGTGTGTATTTATAAAAATGTGCCAATTTGAGCGTGACATAAGGCCTCGTCGTGCATATAATTGTAACATTTTGTAAAAAAATCAAAATATTTCCAACCGTCAGATTCAAATTACCCTTCAAAATTATCGTCAGATTTTTCGCTAGTATGACAGGAACTTTAAGCTGAACCGTCTGTATAAAATCTATTTATCAGGATTTAAAAATGGCGATTTTTCGAATTTGCAGTTTATATTTTCGATAATTCGCTACATTGCAGCATTTTTGGCATCCAAATAACATATCTCCAAAATATCGGAAATCCGCCAGAATATTTTTTTTTTCGATTTCCTCCCCTTACATTTTTTAAAACCTGTAGAAGCTTTTCCCAACGTTGAAAGTAGAAGCATTATATTACTTTTATTCCTTCTATTACCTAATCTTTCAAATGCAATAAGTCCCCATGACGCTCGAGTAATTATCCATTTAGCATCACGGGTTCCCCTAAGGTTCAAAAGGGGAGGCAACAAAAAAAAAATTCATTAAGAAAACTACTGCGGTTCTAAAGTGGACTCAAAATATTTACCAAGCCAATTATCATTTAGAAATTAGGCATTTTACTTGTACCCGCCACTTGTCTAACTTGCCTAGCTTAAGTTGATCATTGTATATTTATACCTGGTGTACAATAAAGTGATATTATTATTATTTTTGTACCTTATTTCAGTGTTAGTGTCAAGCCATTTTTTTCATTCAAGGCACTTCAACAAAAAAATCATAGAGTATCCGATATTATGTATGTATGTATGTATGTTTGACAAGATGAATATATAGGAAACTTTATAAAAAAAAGTGGCGTTCCGGGAGAGCCGACAGTAGTGGAAACTTATAGACAGAGGTGTCGGTAACGGTAGCAGTGTTGCGAGTTCAATTGTTTTTTCCTATCTCAAAAAATACCAGTAAAGAAGTTTTCACTTCAAAAATAGTAAACAGTCTACGGAGGTATTACATCGCACTATTATGTTGAACATCCTGCTTGGTTTAATAGTCAATATAATTCGGAGCGTATTCCTCGACCGCCCCAGTACCTATTCAATGCAACCTAATACTAGAAGTAATTCAAACATTTATTTCCACAACATCGGGGAGTATCGGGAGGAGCTTTATCTATTGCTACCAAACGCTATGCCTACAAGTACATTTTTAAAATCGAATCCAATATGTTTAACTTCTCTTCATTAGTGCTAAGAGAAAACATGTAGAGATATACTTTTATCTAATAACAACTTAAAAGAGACAATGTTATTCAAAGTTTTCTAAAATTATCAGTGTTAACAATAATATTTCTGTAAGATCTGTTCCTCACATTTCGTAATAAAAATAAGTAATCACAACAAGTATTGGAACACATCTGGTGTAAATTTTCTTCCCACGCTCAGAATTGGCGTGAAAGGGTGTGAGGTTTGGTCGAGGTGTTGCATTGCGTTGAATGAAAAGTGTCTGTGTGTAGGGCTGGGCTGCTCGGGGCTTGCGGGGAGGGAATGGGGCACGGGAGTGGCGGTTATCGATCGAAAGCGCTGCGCAACAAGTGTCGCGAGCCACCCGCTGCGTATTTGGCGAACACACCGCTCAATTATCTGCCAACTTGCTGGCCGATATGTTTATATTCTGGCACTTCGTGTTGGAATTTCTAGCTACAAGTTACTCATTGAAAAACGCAGTATTTTGCTTATCGATCAAGGAAACCAGTAGAAACCCTTTGTGATGTGTCATTACTTGTGACTAAGGGTTTAATGATATTTATACTCTTTTTATTATTATTAATTATTATTTTAAAAGTTTAGGATAAAAAAATGTATTAAGAGATATAAATTACATATAATATCCGAAAAACTAAATTGAAATAAAAGAAACAACATTGTGGAAGTTAGTTATTTATTAAGAGACATTCTTATTACATCGGTACAAATGTAAATACCTGTATTTGAGACACATGTTATAAACATTTAAATAATACATTTAAATATATGTTAATAAATTGAGTGGAAAATTAACATCTATACACAATCTACACATCTCAAATCCTTCTGTGCTAAATTTTACGAATAGCATCAATATAATTATGTATACAATAGACCATAAAAAATCTTAGAAGTATATCGCCATATCTTAAATAACATATTTAAATGTGCGAAGACTGTTCACAGTAGATAATTTCATGTTCTAACACCGACAAATATCTGAATAGTCACAACGATCATTAAAATACAATCATAAATATAAATTTATCTTTTAAAATTATACTAATTACTCTAAACACTAAACTACCGACAGAGTTGGAAAAAGAATTGATTGTAATAATTAGATTGTTTTGATTATTATTGAATACAACAAAATCTACGATAACTACAAACTAAAAAGACTATATATATATACTTTTAAAAAAGGCACATCCATATAATTTAAAATTCTACATAATTTAATATGAAGTAAAATAAATTGCATAAAACCGAATATTAAAAAAGGGATCGAATTTTTAAAACACAAACATATATACAGGATAAGTAGTTTGTCACAATAACTTTAAACGATAGCAGTAAACAAATTGAGGTACTTATGTGACAACTCTCACAGGATTGGATCAAGATTAAGACTAAAAGGAAGAGTTGTTTAACTTAGTTTTTTGACAACAAAGATTTTTACAGATGAATATGAGACGTTTAACATTCACGACATCATAAGAAATACCCTCTACTAACTTTGACCTAAGGTGAATAATTGCAACAAAAAATATTTCAAATATTATAATGGTCAATTCGAGAGAAACGAATAATCGTACTATCTTTGCGTTTTCATGTATCGATTTTATTAAATGTTTTGTTCATAGCAGCAGTGGGTACAAAATTGATTTTATAATAATAATAATATTTTCATACATTTAACACACGGCCGCCTGATCCCTAACTAGGCAGACCCTGTACTATGGTAACCAGACTGCTGATAAACATACTTATATATTTCTAAATACATACATATTATAGATAAAGTACACCCAGATACAGAACAAATGCCAGGGTCAGGGTCGCTAACCTCTAGACCAACAGGCCAGTCAAGTTTTGATAATCATTAATAATATACACGCTGAGATGAGAAACGGCCGTTGAAACAAAGCCAATAATATATTTTACAAAGGTAACGTTGATAAAACAGGCTATATCATGAATTGCAATCCGTATTAGATATCAAATGATGAAATATTTAACTATATGACATCTACTATTGAATGTGAGAACTATCCGCTTCATTAAATATTCACGACACTTCGATTCTTTCGATGCTGCAATTCGGCGGCTTCTCCACACCTGGTGAATGTTTTAGGGGAACGTTCCACTATCAGATTTTTAGTAATTCGTTCCTAGTAAAAGGATCTTGCTTTATTTTTTATATATACATGTATAAACTTCGTTTGAAATCATACTTCTAAGAAAAATCTCGCTTATAGCCGTGTGTGTTGATCATTTTGCAATTTTAAATTCTTGCACTAAGAAGATGGCTGATGACCGACGAGTTCAATTCGTTTAATGTTACAAGTTTACAAAGTTACGATTCAAAATCTAGCTTCTTCAAATACTTGAGATAAAAGTAATATTGTAGAATTGTATATTTTAAATTCTACTGGTTGCATGTTTGCAGTAACTAACGTACTCGTAAGACTACTGTAGAAATAAAAATATCAAATTTTTATTCCTACAATAGTCATTTATAAATTACGATATAAAATTCTCAAATATTTCTACAGTGAACTTATTAACGTATATTTAAATTAAAAAAAAAAAAACAAATTTACTGTGATAAAATTGTTTCACACATTAGTTGAAAGTTATTATATATAACGACATTGATCCACTTGAACGACACAATAAGGTATGAAATACATACTTAGAAGATTTATTGAGACTGTTTTTTGCAAAAATTTTATAACTAATACGTAGACATTTTATTACTATAGAAATGAATACAATCCATATGTAATTTGTGTCTGTTTTCCTAGTTAATTTATAACTCTTTCCAGAAGTTTCTTTCGTAACGAGCTCACTTAACCTATTCTCCACAATAGTTAAAAGAGACCAATTCAATACCAATACATCATCATTCACCTCAATTTGATATTGCGCGGAACATTTAGTCCGGGCTTCGCTCAATAGATACTACGTCACTCCTAAAACTTAACTATAGTTAGAATTACAATAAACCTACAGTATAAACCAGTCACATAGAGCCGCCACTTCAACCCTAATCACTTGTCTTACATTGTCACTCTGATATACTAAAATCTTAAAACTATAGATACATCGGCTTTATTGGCGTTATTTTCACTACTTTACTAGTTATACCCATAATAAAGTGTAAATGTCATGTTAAGGAATGGATGGATTGTAATGGATAAGAAAGGTTTGACTGCCGAACATTAAATAAATTGTAAATATGGACAATGAGCGGGATATGAGCAGACGACGTGCAGTAAAAGTGACACCTTCGTAACTTATATAGACAAAACAAATACCGTAGAGTTACACGTAGATGACATACATTAGTTAGTAGTTATAGTTCATCTAGACGTTTTATCGTAATAATTGGGAATTTGTGGCAAATTTTAATTATACTGCCGAATTTTTTTCTTAGTGAAGAGGCTAAAAAGAAGTTTATAAAAGACAATTACAAGGACAGAACACCTAATACAAAGTCCACTTGAATGAAAGTTATATCATATCTGTACGTATAGAAAATTCGAAAGTTACCCGTGATCTTTACTAATATAAATCGTATGATAAATCACGTATCGTCGCAATTTTGCAGGAATTTAGGAGATGATGCATGAATTACGTTTGTTGTTGTGTCGCTCGCGGATCTGTTGCAGATGAGCCAATTGAGCTGGCGACGGAACATGTGGCGCATTTGCCGGCGGTGTAGGGCTCGAGCCAGGTGGCCCTTGCGGTCCTGTAGGCAGGGACTGTCGCCGTCGTCGTCGTAATGCTGGTGATAAGTTATACTTAACCTTTGCCTGTACCAAGAGCTCCTTAAATATCTGAGACACGTTCATGTTGTCTTTGGCCGACGCCTCCACAAACCCATTCTCCCAGTCAACTGTTACTACTGATTCTGTTGTGTGGAATTCTATCTGTAAAATAAATTAAAAGTATAAAGACCTTTAATTTTCAATTTCGTTGGAAAGGAATGAAATTGTTTCCAGTTATGATAATAATATTGGGTAATTGAAACGCTCCCTGATAACTGCCCTTACGCACCTGTTGCTATAATTTGGTATACGACACCGTAAAAGTTTCGTTATATACTAAGGTAAATTATTTATTCTGGGCAAAAACCAATATGCCAGTTAGTGTTTCTCATTCTAAAATTCAGAAATGCAAAAGAAACCGATTATACTTCAACATTTTTGAAGTATTTTAGCATGGCAGCAAATATTAAAGGGGGAGTAGAGCTGACGTCGACATTTCTCAAGCATTTTCGTCAACTATTACCGTACAACATCAAAACCAAGCAAAATGCAGAATTGCGAAAAGCCGTTATGATTTATGTCGAGATATTTTCTTTCATAACGATATTCACAAGCACACAATAATAATTTGCGAAGTCATTAAAACAACAGTGACTGCTTGGACAAATTCCTAACAAGGTTCCAGCATCTGAATAATGAAAACGACGAATTGGAATGAATTGTCGACAAAAATTCTTTCTTCAATCTTGTAAAATTTATGAGTTTCATGACCCGTAGTATGTAAGCATTTATTTTCACTAGGTATGGAGCATTAGATTTTCAAAGTTTGAGAGTAAGGTTGTCTCTAACTACCATATCAATGTAGTGGAATTGATTATGTTTGAGTTAAACCAGGGAATGATCACAAAATATATTTCTCGTTAGTATAATGAGATTTATATAAAGAACAGAACAAATAAAGAAAAAAAACATTGGCACTCCGGGAGTGCCGACAGAAGTGAAAACTTATATACAGAGGTGTTTTTTCAAATCTCAAAAAAAAACCAACCCTTACGGAGGTCAAACTGCTCCCCCTAGTACGAAACGGGGGAACTAATTTGTGTCTTTTGAGTTACAGGTTTTCATAGGCGGCGGTAGTCACTCAACCACCAGGGGACCAATCTAGCCGTTTGCACCTTATACCTTAAGAAAAGGTACCAGAGTTTCAAGAAAATGCGTTATCTGCATGAGTTAAAAGTATTAAGTAAAGATAAGTTAGTATAGCATTCTACTACTTCGTTAAAAGCCGTGCTGATACTATGCCAACACCTAAACTGTAGTTTTTTATTTATGGTTTTATTTTATCTTTGTGGCATAGAAAAAGTAGTCACTACAGTGCTCTATTAAACTAACAATTTATTAATTCTATAAAAAGCACTGGAGGTCGTGATAGTTTATACGAAGCTCAGTAGTTCGAATGTTGGAGAGAAAGCGGATGCTTCGAGCAACCTGTGTTCCGCTCCGAAGTTTATGTCATAACACGAAACATGGAACAACTTTTGCACACATTGTGTTACATTGAAGATAACAAATGTAGCTAATATTAATATTTATCGGTAATAATGAATGATGCCAACTACATTCTTTAACATTAACAATAGCTAATTATTAGTAGTAGCTTCAATAACAGTATTCGTCACAAAGACAAGTCTGAAGTTAAATAAAGCTCAGAACTAAATACATCTCTTTCAAACTGTTTTTTTATTATTATTTCACATTCACACAATGCCATCTAGTTCTAAACTAAGCAGAGCTTGTACTGTGGGTACTAGACAACTGATATCAATACATTTATACTTTTTTTTTTGTAAATACATACATATTATACATAGGAACACCCACACCAAATCAAACATTAAAAGTTCATGCACACAAATGTTTGACTTGAGCGGGAATCGAACCCGCGACCTTTTAAAATTTAATGGTGCTGAACTTTATGATTAAGTGTCATGAGGAGTATCATTGGATTAGAATTAAATTTAATTCATTAACATTACGTACCTACCCATCTAACATCTACTTATCTGCAATAGCTTAAACCAACTATTGAAATAGTTTTTATAAAATTACAAAAAAAAACGTAAAATATTAAAGTAAAAGAAAATTAGAACAATACATACTTTTAGAATTTGCGCCTCAGATGCGCGCATGTTACGAGTCACGTCTCACGTGACTTCTATTATTATTACTATTCACGCTGATGATAGATTGATAATTATTACTTCCCAGAAGGAGGTTGTAACGTTACTGCATTTTGTTCATTTTATCAGTTTATTTGAAATTAAATTTGGATGTGATTTACAATGAAAGTGTGTAGGTACCATATATACATAAGCAAATACTGTACAAAATGCACGAAGTGTCGTGCTTCAAGCAATTACTCGTAGAACAACATTTGCTAAAGGTTGTGATTAAATTTCGTGTTGATGAAATTTTCGTGTGTCGGGAGCATAAGTTATTAGATAGTTTTACAGTTGCATTTCAGCTCTAATTAAGATCGGTGTAAAGAACCCTAGTAGAATAGAGATGAGAAATAGTGAATATGCTGATTATACTTAAAAAGTGTGCTAAATACAATTATCTCTTAGAAGATTACATATTTTAAAACAATTTATGAAAGAACTTTAATTCAGCACTGTAGTACATACTATAATTTTTATGTCATTTCAAATATCCAGATAAATTGTAAAAATTACTTTGTTCTAACCGAGGACCAACTTTGGAAGTTTTGAAAATGTCATCGTGAAAACGCAACTTTGTTCTTAGTAGTTGGCATGATTATGCTATGTTTTACTTCAAGTTTTAAAGATTTAAAAGTTTGTGTCTAGTTTTACATTTATGTTCATAAACTTAATGTAACTTTTAATACATTTTAAGAATGGTTATTTTACTTGTACTCTGACTTGAATGAATTAGTTTTGCGCGTCCTCGAGAATTAATTAAATTATGGCTAATTCTGGATCGGGTTGACTGACTTTATACTGAAACTTAAAATAGTTAGTAAGTTTCTCAAACTTATCAAAGACGATTTAATTTTATGAATATTATTACAATCGGAAATTACTGCTAATAGCGAATTCTGGCATAGTAATAATCTATCATAATCCATTTGCCATAAATTTAATGAAGTAAACGTAAAAGTTTAAAAGTTATTATGTGGTTTAATTCAAAATATTCAATGAATATATTGAATCCCCAAAAATATTTGAGTCAGTAAATTCGGGTGTTTTAAATTTAACATAACTACGAGTATATCATATCAAATTCATGTAATAAGCTAAACTCAGAATGTTTTATGAATATGTTATCTACAAAATTCAAACATTACAAACGTTTATACCGAAATAAATATAATACATTTTACCAATACAGCGTATATTAACTTTACAAATTACAGGAGATTACTTTACTTTACCCCTCGGTATACATAAATTGTGATCCCATTGAGTTAAACATCGTAATTGTTTTAAAACGCTAAAAAGGAGAGGAAATTTTTAAAGGAACCCTAAAAATATTCAACAAACATTCTCCCAACCCTTTTCTAATTGCAGGTGCACAAATCAATTTGTGTGTGGATGTTACGGTGATGTGAGTTCAACACAAATGAACTCTGACATCTCTGACACATCTGTCGCTGATTAGAAGAATATTATGTAAATATCTCATTAACTTCCTCTCTATCACTGTTATATATACTAAACTATCGCATATTGTTTTAAATAAAGTCACAAATTTCTACACCTTAAAAAAACGCAGTAACTAGATATAAGTATAAAACTGAATTATATTTGAAATTTATTACAGGTCACAAAATAATTCTTTAGAAAATAAGAATCTACAAGATATGTTTTCTACCTGCTGCATACACTCATACGTAACCCTATATAAAGTGATTGTTAAAGATTCTAAAGATTTATTACAGGGTACATTTATTTTACAGCACAGTTAACTTGGATATAGAGCACCGTAAAAATTAATGAACCCGAAGGCATTGAACATAATAGGGTCTATTGTGTGTCAAAAGTTGAACGATTCTGCCTATTTCGGTATATCCGGTGGACTGCCGATACAGTTACCAAGACTTTCTGATCTTCTATTCATCATATTGCGACCACTGACACCTCGGAAATTCAATTCTACTCACAATAAATGACACAGAATGATCGAGAATAAAATTTTGTTTTAAGCATCGGTATTGGCTGTTTAATTTTGTTTTTTTAAATGTATAACCAACTTTTGACATTCGGTTTGAAGTTATGAAAATGTACTCATAAATACAATTTATGAATTCAGTTACAACCAAGGCCGTAAATTTAACATTGAAAGTTTATAGGTGTGTAACATATTGTAGGTAACTTCGAATATCTATTGTTTTCAGTCGATAGATTTCTTTGAGCGTTTGAGCAAATCCCCGGCGGCCAAAAGATACGTGACAGCCGTTGATCCGTACTTCACCCGTCACATTGCCGACCTACATAACCTAATCTATATAATAGTATAAAAAATATAAGGAAAATATCGACTCTACAAATATTGAACATATGACACAAAATACTCGTAGTAGATGCAAAAATAAATATCGAGTGCTATGATAAAACCCACTCATGCTTTACCATGAAGATAAGATTGTCAGTTTAATAAAGTTCAGGTAAAGACAACGCTTTTATTATTCTGTGGTTAAAAAAAGGATTTGCTTACCTGTCTTGCTCCAGTTTCTGCCAAATCCACTTTATTGCCAACTACGACAATCGGAACGGCTGTACTGTCTTTTGTTACATGGATTTGATCTCTCAAAGCTCTCACTTCTGCAAAACTGTTGGCATCTGTTATATCGTAAACAAGAATAAAGGCGTCTGCTGATTGCATGGACAAAGCTCTCATTGCAGGGAACTCGTACGCCCCGGATGTATCTAAAATATCCAATGTTAGTCTGACGCCTGATACGTTGAAATCTCCGTGGTGCATCTCTTCTATAGTCCTTTTGTATTTAGGTGAGAAGGATCCATATAGAAATTGAGTTATGAGTGAGGACTTGCCGACCTTCGCCGCTCCTAGGACAACAATTTTGTGACGCACCGCATGATTAGTTAGATTGCTGCTGCTGGAAACCGTATCTTCTGTTCGTTCGGTCCTGAAAATAAAAATAAATAATATAATATATATTAAAAATACTATAAAAATAAATAAATTTGGGTAAAATATCTAATGTTGTATATAAAATTGTCTTTTCTGTTGGTGATTGTTTTTATTTTTGCAGCCTCTAAGTTAATATTTTACTTAATTCCTGATTCTTTAGGTTATCTTTACATAGCGTTTAAGAAATGTTTCTTTCTAAAACATGAATTGTGACGTGTGATATTATTATGCTTTATAAATTTATACATAGATTGGTAGATTGTCCTGAGTTCCTAGCCACCATCAAAATTCAAGTTCCACGAACCGGCAGTCGTCTACACAATAAGAGAACATTCCACGATATCGTACAAATATTCTACAGAATTCAGCTGCATATCGTATGTGTAAAAGTTACAATGGCATCAGATCTCAATTCGACATATTTACAGGTTCTTCGGCCTCAGCTAAATCAAAAATGGCAAAGCTAAAAACCTGAGCGAAAAACAACTAAACCTAAAATTTCATTTCTTTGTGTTGTATAATGTTTGTATTATTATGTAAGTTTCTTATATGTATATTGTCACATCCAATTAGTGGACCATAATAAAAAAAAGTATTACATACATTCATACGTCATATCATAAACATAACGGCAATGTGTGGGACTAACGACAATGATAATACTAGATTAGTATTAGGAACTGGGAGTTTTCGGTAATGACCTAGTTCACAGAAATAATGTTTAGTTCATGTTTACGTAGGTGGTAGATAAATGGTAGTGGCTCTAGGTTCATTGATAACAAAATGTGGGCACACATTATGCAACTAATTGGCAATCTAATGTAATAGTAAATATTAAATAGAAATTATTACCGCGGTATAAAACAAAGAGCTCCTTTCCAGGAAGCGATTAGACCACTTGTTGCTATAATATTAAATGCTTAGTTTGCCATCTTTTGGTCCTAATTGCTTTATAAGTCTGAGGTTAATTTTCATCAATGTAAGTTCCAGCAGTAGCTATGGTCTGGTACGAGACGATGGGAAAAGACCGAATGTTATGTCTTTACTGCCATTTAAGATGGGTAAGGTTTTGGTGTGGATCACAACTTGCGTCGATACCCTCGCATGTAATGTAATGTAAAAATTATAAATATTGGCATTGTATTATATATTAATTGTTTAGTTCATTTATAAGAGCGTATTAATCATGATTTCCCGCTTACTTTTAAATAAAACAAATGTTATGATGATATTTTTTTTTTATGGTGTTAGATATTTTTAGTTATAAAATATCTATCACCTCATTTCGTTTAAGTAAATGGTGAGCATTTGACCACGCTTAACTACAATGCCCACCTACCCTCCAAAATGTTTTTTTAACTGCAAAAGGAGTCCATCAAATTTGAACACAAAAATATGCGCAATAACTGACTGCCTGACCCTAAATACTAAGCGAAAGATCACGGATATGACAACAGGACAAATATTGTGGGATGAGCACGATCCCTTGTCCTGTGTCTATGTGTAATTTATCTTTAATATGTAAAACTATCGTGCCAGCGACTTCGTCCTCGTAGTGGTCGATATCAGACATTGTAGATAATACGCTGCTACCCAAAAATAACGAAGTTTCATATACATTTTCAACCCCCATTTTTCAGTCTTAGGGATGTGATTTAAAAAATCCTTTACATCTACGTCACCTAAGGAATATACATGTATGTGCAAAATTTTATGCTTCTAGACCCGGCAGTTGCAGCTGTGCTTTGATTGATCTGTCAGTGAAACAGTCTGTCAGTTTCTTCTTTTATAGACGTAAGACACACAGGTAAAATATACAAGTATGATGACGGTAATAGGCTTGCCAACTATAAAATTAGTGGGACTAAAATTATAGTCGTTAAAATGTGGGCGTTTAATAAGACTTGGATGGACATTTAATAAGGAGTGGATAAAGACGTGTGTGTAATCTATCTATATCTGTACAAATAAATAAAATTGGAGTGTCTGTTTGTAATATTAAAATAACCGCTTTTTACTAAATGCATATGTATGTTTACACGGTACATATGCCAAAATAACATTTTTTCAATTTTTGTCTGTCTGTCTGTCTGTTTGTTCCGGGTAATCTCTGGAATGGCTGGACCGATTTCGACGGGACTTTCACTGGCAGATAGCTGATGACATAAGGAGTAACTTAGGCTTTTTTTTAGACTAGCTTCGCCTCGCGGCGTTGCCCGCGGTTATAACAACAAACGCGGGTAACACCGCGGGTCTCAGCTAGTACTCTATACAAATATAATTGAAGTGTCTGTTAGTATTGTCACAATAATAGTATTTTTTTATGCTGACACGGATATCGTGCATATATAACCGTGTCAGCATGAAAAAAAACTTTTACCTATGCCTAAAAACCAGTTTAAACATTTTTTGTCTGTCTGTCTGTCTATCTGTTTGTTCCGGGTAATCTTCAAACCTGCTGTACCGATTTAGATAATATTTCACTACCAGGTAGCTGTCTATATAAGGAGTAACTAAGGCTATTTTTTTCTCAGAAAAACAATATAAAATTATACCCGGTCCGGCAAACGAACCCACTAAGGCAGCGCTTTTCAAATTCCACTCGAAAGACTTTCCGGGCACCAGCTTGTAATAAATAAAAATATACAAACTTTAGTTTATAATATTAGTGTGGATATCTGAGTAGCTTATCGGCTATGCCTCGATCAATACTATGCGAGTGCCACATGACTATTTATCAACGTTCGGAACATTTATGTAGTTAGCGTGACAATAATTTATGTCGATAACAGATTTCAGCTTTGGTTTCAGAGTTAGGTACATTTATTTTCGCAATACGTATAAGCTAAACGGTCTATTATCACCAAATCAGATAGAGTGCTTTAAACTGAAGTTTCTAACTTAATTTACTTTCAATAACTTGTATACCACATGGGACAACACCAAGTGTAATCCACAAGTTATTGTTCTGAGTCTGGGTATTCTTTGTGTCCGTTTCATTAATGTTTGTAAAGTCCCCCGCGACATTGCATATATGTATTCCTAATTTTTCATCCTTAGGGGTGATATTTTTTCTTATGGATGGGACCAAACGCGAAGTTCCAATTCGGTTCATAAATCACGGAGTTTTGCGGTAACAAACAAACAACTGAATTGAGAACCCCCATTTTTCTAAGTAAGTTAGTTAAAAATTTATTCATACTTCAATTATGTCTCAACATTTCAAAGTTATCACTTTTATAAATACCTAAGGATAACATTGTAAGAGTGAGTTTGTGTAAATCACTTAATGTATCACAGGTCGTTTATGCTGTATATTCTATTGTGCAATTGTGTTGTCTTTCTGTCTTTCTCGTCGTAATAAACGTATACGTATGTACAAAATATTATATGATTCTAGATAGATCATTCCGAATTTGATTAAGTTTTTGTTACATAGCTTTTTTTTACATAGTCATTTAATCATGTCACCCATTTAACTTAGACAAAAAAATTACTGCTTGTACAATCTATTTTATAAAAATCAATGTGCTATTAATTTTACCGTTTATTTGTTTAAAATTAGTTATAATCGAATAGTAGTAGATGTAGATTTGCTCATAAATACGAGCAATAAAGTTATAAATGGCAGAAACAAGTAGCAAAGTTACGCTAAGAATGCTAAATATAAAACAGGCAATTTACAGACTTATAAAAAACTGGCAATTATTGTGAAAAATATCATTTATAATTATAATCAATAATGGGATATAAGTGGGTAAAAATAATGGGTTCAGATTTCTCCAAGAACTGCAAAAACAGTGCCAGCCAGTGTTTTTAACTGTTGTTACATTCACAATTGGTTGATAATCCTGATGAGATTTAGAGACTTGCCGAGGAAGAGAGATGCTTAACACTAGCCACTTCTAAGTCGTTAAACCATTATCCGAAAATAAGTGATTACTACAGTTTGAACTTGACTATGCAATTTTAAGTATATAATAAATATAATATTATCACATTGCTTTCCTGGGCCATGGAAAAATAAAAAAACATTCATTTTGCATTTAGCTTGTTTCATATTATTACAGATATAAAAAAATTAAAGTAAAGTTTTGTTATAATAATAGTACAGAATTCTGACTTGATTTATTTTTTCTTATTCCGTTTCTAATTTCAAAGAGTGAAATAGGTCACGGAATAAACATAAACTCAGCGAATTAAGGCCTTCAAAGTTAACTAAGCTATGTTTAAAGCCACCTTAGTAAAGAGGTCCCGGAGCGACTAGTTAGAGGTAACTGTGTTACTTACTATAGGTAAAATATTTCTGTTCCTTACTGATTAAACCATTGTGGAGAAACTCTATATCACGAAATATTGTATAGCAAGGTAAACCTTCTTTGTTGCGTTTGCATGGGTGGCGTCTGGATGCGAGAAGCCCAAAATCGATCTAAGTGGCGTGCAATGGGAGAGGCCTATGTCCAGCAATGGACTGCGATAGGCTGATGATGATGATGATGAGGTAAACGTTCTTCAGCCCCGATTACCAAAAAAATAAAAGTATTCTTTGGCAACCGATCAGACTAGGAAATGCTTTTGATTTACTGAATTCAGTTTAGATAAGGTTTTCCATAATGAGATATTTGGGTAATAAACATATGAAATCGACTGAAAATAATTGTTAGTAGGTATTAAATTAGAGGGGCTCGTGGCTAAGTAGTTGTAACCGAGTAGGTTAAACAATCCTAGCCAGGTTAGTGAATAGATGGGTGACAATTTTTTAACACCTTGAAGAGCACGTTAAGCCATAGGTTCCGGTTACCATACAAGCATTTGTGGTATTCGTTACGGGTAGTTGAAGCCCTAAAAAGTCCAACAACAGTTTTTCTATAGAACTTCGATTTCGCTTAGTACTTGGGTTGTGGAGGTCTGATGGCCGTCGCTCCGCGTAAAAATCGAGGTTCAGCCGTATCGCAGTAGACTTAAAGCCGCCCCAACCTAGTTTTGGGAAAAAGGCTCGGCGTAAGAGAGTGTGTGTTTAGTTAGAGTCTGATCTATAAAGTTTAATGACGGAAAAACGAGATTACCTTACAAAACCGAATTAGCAAAAGGTATGAATGGAGAGTGATATGAATGGTTCGTAAGACGGGTGGTAAATTTCTGTAGTATGTGAAAGCATTCAACTCCTTTCTGTAGTTGAAAATGTCTATTCCGAACAAATTACCGGAACTAAATCTCTAAGCAATATGTTACCGCAAGTAACAAATTATGTGAAAAATCTTTAACATTTGGTGATAGCAAACATGACTTCGGAAGTAAACTCATTTCGATACTGTTTCACAAGTCAAACAAAACTATAATTGGATGTTGTTAGATTGGAACAATGTCTTTTTAAATTGTTTGTTTTGTGTGTGACACCTGATCAATTTTAAGAATATAAAAAAAAGCGTTGTGTGCCTGTTTAGTTTCTATTTTTTAGTTTGGTTTTATGTAAAAAGCGTGTTTTTTAGTTTTTTTAACTATTGCTTTTTTTATTATTTTTAATATTATTATTTTAATTTTTTATTTTTTTAAATTAGTGTATTGTCATCGGTCCTCGATATATCTACAAAGTCTGAACGAATTCTGACCGTTTAAAGTCAGTCAAAATCACTCCCAAAGGAGTCGGTTACAAACAAACATACGGGTGAAGCTAATAAAAAAAGCGTGTAAAAAGGTTTTTTAAATTTATATGTAAATTTTGTACTATGCATAAAACATAATGGTTAATCGTCGTGTTAGGTACTGTGTGTATATATCATATAAGAAAACCAAAGAGTGAAGCAATAGAAATAATGTAATAATTAAATAATATCGTACAGACTGAGAAGATGACAGCATATACAACCAATAGAACTAATAAATATCTTTAATTTCCGCACATTTACAATAGTATTCAGTTAGTGTCAAATAATAATAGTAATATCACATGATATCATTGCCCTAGTCGTAGTTAGACACCGCAGTCTCAATTCCTTTTCCACATCCAAGACTTGCAGTCTTCCTCACTCCAGCTCCTTTGACTTATTTGTTTTTCTAAATTACCTCCTTCCTTTCTCCTGTCTAAAAATTATTATATTACATAGGAGAGATGGCCCTAAGACCTGGTGAAGGTCGCGGGAAGCCGTGGGATGCGAGCAGCGCAGGACTGGTAGTTGGGTGAGGCCTATGTCTAGCAGTGGACGTCTTTCAGTTGAGAAGAAAAAGAAGGAGAGCGTGCAGGAGGGTAGACGGCCGGCCATAAAAGAAACTCCTTTATAAAGTGT